TGTGATTAGTTGTGTGAGCTTACATTGAGTTCTCATCTATTGTAGAGAATGAAACATTTTATTTGAGCTTAATTGTGAGAAACATTTTGTAATATACTTGTACACCGAGAGAAGTGTGTGGTGAGAAACGTGATCGATTCCAAGAAGAGTGGGGTCGATAGTAAAACCTAGAGAGAGATGGTAATTTTGAACACTTAAGGAAGACGACACGGGCTAGACCAACACTTAGAGGGTGTAGTGTGATTGCAAGAGTGTGATTGTGAAAGTTTTCGGTGAGCTAGAAAACCGAGTGTGAGGTGTAAACGTTTTGGGTGAACGTCGAAAACCCGTTATGATAGTGAAGTTCTCCTCGAGAGTGGGGAGCGGAGACGTAGGTCGGAATGATCGAACTCTGTGATCATATTATGTGTTTGAGTTTGCATTAGCGTAATTATCTTATGCTTTATTTATTTCATATCGTCATTGCTTATGTTTATTTCGCCCTTAGTTTAATATCCTTGCATATAACTTGTTGTATATCATACTTGCTAAGATAATTTGTTAATAGTTTTTAAATTGACATTAAATCGGATTAGATTAGTACATTATCCTATTCACCCCCTCTAGGGTAATTTTAATTGGTATCAGAGCAATTTTATTTATGTGTACTCTTAAACATTTGAAGACCATAATACTCTCTCTCTCTCTCTCTCTCTCTCTCTCTCTCTCTCTCTCTCTCTTATGATGTTATTATAGGAATGAATGATGATTCGAAAAGACTTTTGGTGGGGGAAAACCCTAGCTCCCTCCAAATTCAAATTATCTTCTACCTCCCCTAATCCCCCACCCAATAAATCCTCTTAGCTTCTTCAACTACTTTCTTGCGGCCATTTGATTCTCCTCCATCAATCCTCTTTCCTTCTTCAATTACTTTTCCTCATAATAATGGAAAGATCTCTCCTTTGTATGATTACAAACACAAAAATCCATGAAGAGGGTGAGAGTATTTTCGTCGCTATCAATGACTACAGAAATCATTAGCTTAAAGTATCAAATGTCCCAAAGACTTAAACTCACATTGCAATCTCTTTCACTGAAATTCATATCCAAGAGGGAAAATTGTTCAGTTTTGTAAGTAAAAATAATGACGACTTAAGTTTGATATTCGAGTATTGTCTTCGTAATGGACTTATAGAAATAAACTTATAGGCTATTTTAGCTGCAAATTCCTCAACTTCTCAGAACACCCAAACTTCTTCAAAAAATGTCTAGCATTTCAAACAATTTATTTTCCTTATAAGTTAGTAGTTAAGGTAATGAGTTTGTGTTTAAGGTTATGAGTTTGTTGTTAACCTTAGTAGAGAATTGTGAGTTGATTGTTAATGTTATGAGTTGAATACAAGTTGGTTATTAAGGCTATAAGTTAGCAGTTAAGGTAATGAGTTTGTTGTTAAGGTTATGAGTTTGTTGTTAACCTTAGTAGAGAATTGTGAGTTGGTTGTTAATGTTATGAGTTGAATACAAGTTGGTTATTAAGGCTATGAGTTTGTTTTTAACATTTATAGATGAACGTCAGCAGTAATTAATTGTTAAGGTTATTAGGGGTGGGCAAAATCCGAAAAAACTAGTTGAACTGAAAAAACCGTCCGAAAAAGCGGATCGGTTAACCAAACCGAATTAAATGGATGAGAAGAAGTCTCTAAACCGTCCGAACCGAATTAAACCGGTCCGGATCCGGTTTGGACCCCTAAACCGCCCAAAAAAAACCGACCCGATTTCTACTATAAATACTTAAAATCCCTAACCGGCTAACCCTAACCCTATCTCAGACTGAGAGACTCGACTCCCACAACACAGCCGCCTCTCCCCTCTCGCCTCTCAAGCCGCCTCTCGCCTCTCACAACGCCGCCTCTCCCCTCTCGCCTCTCACAACGCCGCCTCTCCCCTCTCGCCTCTCAGGCTCTCACAACACCGCTCCTCCTTTCGTTACGATCAGCGGCTTCTTCGGATCGAAGAAGCATAGGCTTGTTGGGGGTAACAACTCGTTTTCTGATCGCGATTCTTGTTGTTCGGGGAGTTACACCCCAGGCCCAGGGGGATCTGTCACAGTGAGAGCGTCTCCTCCTCCTAATTCTTCTTCGCCTTTGCCTCCTCGGCGCCGTCTTCGATCTCAGGGTTAGTTTCTTCGTCCACCAAACGAGAACCTAATTTTTGTATGAATACACATCTCTTCAGATTTTGAGGCATTTAAAACTTTGTGATTGTTTAATTGGCAAATGCGTCAACCACCGTAATTGGCAAGAACGAAACAAGGAAGAAAAGAGGGGAAAAAATGCGCTCAATGCAAAATAATTGAGCCTTCACACGTGGTTCCGTTTGTCTCTGAAGTTCATTAATTTCAACCGTTTACTCTACTGACCTTCACCTGATCAAAGTTTGCATTTTCCAGATACGATTTCTTTGGTTTATATATATAAAAACTCATTGCTTGGTTTATTTGGATTTTGCTCCCGCAAAGTTTGCAGTGTCTGCCTCAACAGTAGCATCTGAAAGTGCTTTTAGCCTTGGATCAAGGATTATGGATCCATTTCGTGCAAGTCTGACTCCAAAAATGGTTGAGGCTTTGGTATGTACTAGTGACTGGTTGAGAGACACTAGCAAGCCAATGTTTAAGCCAGTGTTTATTGAGCCTATCAAGACTAAAATGGAACAATATTCTGAGTTGGAAAAGCTCACATCAGGTAGCTATTTTGTTTTGCTTTTGAATTTATATATCTCTGTTGTCAGGTAGCTATTTTGTTTTGCTTTTGAATTTATATATCTCTGTTGTTTTGTAAGTATGGTTTTTAAAGGTTATTTCTCTTGTTTTTGTAGAATCTGTCTATCTCTGTTGTTTTGTAAGTATGGTTTTTAAAGGTTATTTCTCTTGTTTTTGTAGAATCTGTTGTCACAGATGCTTCAGCCTCATCATCACAGACCATGTAGAATTTGCCAAAGTGGGGATTTGCTGTTGCTTGTTTAATGTTTATTTTAATTTCAATGTACTGAACTTAAGAACTTAAGTAGGTGTTCATTTAATTATTTCTGGATTATTTGCATGGTTTGTAACTAAGTAACTCTTTAATGAGTTTATTATTGTGGTATGATATGTACTTGTTGATATAGTTTGTGCTCATTTTACTGATTTTAGTTTTGATTTGATGAATATAACTGAAACTTGCCCAGATTTTTGTGAAATGAAGTTAATTCGGTTCAAAACCGAAACCGAACCGAATTTCGGTTTGGCCGAATATTCGGATGAAGGGAAAAAAATCTGGATCTGGATAAGAGTTTTGAGAATCCGAAAAATTCGGATTGGATGCGGATTGGGCTTAAAACCGAACCGAACCGAATACACCCAGCCCTAAAGGTTATGAGTTAATTGTTAAGATTATGAGTTTGTTGTTAACATCACTAGAGAGTTATGAGTTAGTTGTTAAAGTTACGAGTTGGTTGTTAAGGTTAAAGTTGGTTGTGATTATTGTTAACCATAGTAGATAGTTATGAGTTGATTGTTGATATTAAGATTTAGTTGTTAAGGTAATGAGTATGTTGTTAAGGTTATGACTTAGTTGTTAACCTTATGAGTTGGTTGTTAACCTTAATAGAGAGTTCTGAGTTGGTTGTAAGGTTATAGATTGGTTGTTAAGGTTATGAGTTGATTGTTAAGGTTATAAGTTGGTTGTTAAACTTATGAGTTTGTAATTAATCCTGTAGGAGTTTGTTAGTAAGGTTATGAGTTGGTTGTTAATGTTATAAGTTAGTTGTTAATGTTATAAGTTAGTTGTTAACCTCAGCAGATAGTTCTGAGTTGGTTGTGAACTAACTAATAACCTTCACAACCAACTAAGAACTATCTACTATCTACTAAGATTAATAACAAACTCATAAGCCATGTTATCGAGGCGCGCGTCCCGGACGCAAGGCGCTGCGGGTTGGGCTAATTGCGGCCCGCACCAGAGGCGGGGCGCTGCACGCATAAGAGGCCCGCGTCTCGCGTGCGTGGGCTAATTGCGGCCCGCACCAGAGGCGGGGCGCTGCACGCATAAGAGGCCCGCGTCTCGCGTGCGTCTCGTGTGCGCCTCACGCGCGCCTTGTTTGCGCTTGACATCTGTGTCATGTAATAAACTATTTCTTTAGTTTTTTTTTAAATAATTTACATATTACATATTTACATCATGTAATAGACTCTTTCTTTCTAGTTGCTAATCTATTCTCCATCTTTTCATGTTTAACCAATAAAAAAATAATAATAATTAGTAATTTAGTATACTTGTTTGCTAATTGTAACTTCCTTCTCTAATTAGCATGCTAACTAGAAAATTATGACATGTAAATATGTAATTGTTACCTCTATTCTCCATCTTTTCATGCTAACTAGCAAATAGCAATTAAGAATGCTAATTAAAAAATTATGAACAGTCATGTTTGCTAATTACTTAATAGTTACTTAAAAATACATATATCATATTTTAAATAAAAAATACATATTTCTTATTTGTTACTTATTTATTTTGTTTCATAGACTTTTGCTTATGTTGGAGTTTATCTTGCATTGTGATTTGTGAAAACTTATGAACTTCTCTATGTTATGCATGCTAATTAGTAATTAAGACTCTTTCGTGATTTAGTAGGTGAAATTATATTTCTTAATCTTTTATGTAACAATTTATAAATATGTTGCTTATATGCGCTTCTTTATCTTATGTTGGAAAATATTAGTTTGAGTTGTGCGTCTCAATTTAGTGAGGCGCGCACATCATTGTGCGCCTTGCGCATGGTGCGCATAAGGGGCCTTTGCGCCCCGCATTGCGCCTTGCGCCTCAATAACACTGTCATAAGATTAACAACTAACTCATGATTCTTTAATGAGGCTAACAACAAATTCATAACGTTAACAACTAACTTATAACTTTAACTAACTTATAACCTTAACAACTAACTCATAACCTTAACAATCAACTCAAAACTCTCTACTAAAGTTAACAACCAACTCTTAACCTTAACAACAAACTCATTATCTTAACAACTAACTCATAAGAAAAATAAAGTGTAGTTCCTCATTTCACCAAATCATGTAATTCCCCAACTTTACATAAAATCCACTCAAATCAATAAAATCTCAATTCTTGGACGTTCTTTATTTTTGCAGCTCCGGAGAAACTCTTAGAACTCCACGAGCGATGGCGGGAGTCCTAACGCACCATTGCCGTCCAGATCTCTGTCCAACCCAGATCCAAGTGGGCCCTCGACTCCCTCATCGACCCTCATCTCCAAAATCAACTGGCCCAGTTTATCCCTATCACTGATGGAGATGTCATACTCTCTTACTCCTGCCATTATGGAATCTGTCGTTGGGGGAGGGGAGGGTGGTGGTGCAGGAGGCTGTCGCGGGTTCAAAGAAGGATGAGCTTCATCGTTGTCGAGCAGAGATGAGGGCTAGAGCAAAGGAAAGAAATTGAAAGGCTTTGGGCTTTTTTTTTAGGGAGGAGAGAGGAGGGGGCATTTTTGGGTTTTTTTAAAAAAGTACATTGATGGGGGCACATGTGAGTTGGAGGGATTTGATTGTTTACAAAGTCTAATTTTGGAAGGATTTTGGAGTGTTCAAAAAGTCTTGGGTGGGGGAAGAATATTTATTGTTATTTTGGGGGCTATAAGCAATTTTCCCTAAAAATATATACCTCAACCCTCCTCATCACATCAAGTTTTGCAGAGGGAAGGTTTGTAAGATGGCACCACCTAAATCGCAGGTTCACATCTAACAGGATGCAAGTAAAAAGGTAGAGTAAAAAAATTAACCTATACAAAAGCTTAGATTTCAGACCAAAGAAAGTGGCCAATACTTGCAAGGGATTGTCAGCAAGTACTCATCAATGGTGAAACCCAACAAAACATAGGAGAATTGGTGCAATGGCAGAGACATCTCGAGATTCCAGTCAGGAGCTTAATATAGGTGGATGCTAGGATGCTGGTAACTCAAGAGATGGGAAACATTAAGAAAAAGCAGCATAAAAATTTGATACCTGGAACATTGGAAATTTCTGTGAAACATGAGTCCAAATAAATTTCTCTGGATCTTCCCCTTTTTCTGAGGGGGGTATGGAATAACCCATTCGAAATCTAACAGCTTTTGCTGAATATATTGGTCCACCATCCTGAAAATATGCTGAAGGAAAAAAAATGAGCGTCTCAAAGAGATAAATAAGCATATTCATGCAAATGTATTGATCATGGAACATGCTTACCTTTAAATGGCCATACATTTATTTCGTTGATAATGCATAACTTAGAGCCCATTCTATAAGTTAATGTCTCTGGCACTCCAGGATCATTTTCTCCTTTACTCGACCAGTAAGAAGGTTGCCCACGCAGTTGTTCTACCTCAATTAGTGTATTTTCAATGCTCTCATTTTGGTTGTTGTCAGTGCTGGAAGCATAAATCGGCTTATCAATGCAATCACCAATGGCCAAAGACAAACTAAAGCAGTGACTAAGATAGGAATATGCCCGGTGTTCTCTCTCCAGATACTCCCATTCCATAGCACTGCTAGAACCAACTTTTACATTCTCCTTCGTACTCTTTTCTTCAGCGATACTTGTAAAATATGATACCTCTGAACACAATCTCAAGCACAGTTTCTTGCAGAAACTATGTCTAATAACTGCAATATAGTTCAAATCAGTCTCACAATCATACTTGAGATAGAAAATAATAAATAACGTTATCCATGAATGCATTTCTGCACTTCTAGGCAAATACTCAGGCTCATGGCTCGTCTCATGAACTATTTCCAAAATTTTATGGTTCAAGATGAACAAGGTTTCAAAGCAATGAAAAGAAAGAGCATATGTAGCAGAGCTGTCATTACCATAAATACTTGGAGAACTAGATGAAATTATCAAACAGTGAAAAAAGTTGCCAAAATTATAGTAGTTCGTAACCATTCCACTGAGACATAACTACCTTTACAAGAAAAGTGTTACAGGGGAAATATTCTTTGCGAAGAAAAGCCTGATATAGAATGCAAATGCTATGCAAATAACAACGGAATGAGCTACAAGCAACAGAAATTTTCACCAATGCCAAGAAGATGAGGACTACAAAACAAGTGTGCAGCCAATTATATATACTATATATTAAGAAAAGACCTCCTTTAGGTTTGTGAACTTTTAGAGATCCCAAAACATCCTTGCACTTTGAAAAATCAAAAGAAACCTACGCATTTGCAAAAATTGCTTTAACACTTAGAAGAATCAACATGAATGCTCTCACCCCTGCAAAACTTAGCGGAAATGACTTCATAATTTTTTTCATGCAGGCATAGCATGCACCGGAGTACTAGTGTGACTAAAATAAAATATCTGAACAAACCAGAACTATTTCCATATGCCCAAGATACAAGGAAATACAACTGGAAATCTCGGCTTATATATTTAAGAAAGAACATCTCTTCTCATGGTTTGCATATTTAAGAAAGAACATCTCGTCTAAGGTGCTCAACATGCCAAGTAGAAATTCATATCCATGAAAGCCTGTCTATAGGACGAAGAGTAGCAGAAGTGCACAAGAGGAACAAAATAGAGCAAAGGTATTGTTGCCTTTGATCCTCAAGAGACAAAATGAAAGGTGCTCATCTTGCAAATGAAGCAGATAATCTCATATCCAATGCCGCAGAAGATGAAAGCTGGAGCAAAGTGACAGGATGGGCTTAGGCTTTTTGCGGGCTTCGACGGAAAAAGGCACAAAGGCTTTTTACAAAAAAAAAAGAATGTAATAAAGAACTCGAAAAAGAGGAAGCAAATCCAAAATTAAAATTTTGCATATTGAAGGAAGCAAATAAGTACCTGACGTAATCTTATGAGAACAATAACCACTACAACAAAACAATGCATATAATGTAGAAGTCTTTTAGGATCTTGAAGTGGATACTCTCTCAGATGAGGTTTAGATGAAGCAGGGGCTTAAAATAGAGCTTAATCAGGCTTTATACAATGGTCCTCATATCAATGATTCAACACACAAGTCAAAAATATGATCAGCTATCCAAATATGCTACTAGGACAGGTACATGAAAATAGTGCACATATCCACATATGACTAGCATTGATCAAATTATTCAAACATATATATATATATATATATATATATGAATATTTGAAAATCTACATCTACAAAATATCCATTTAACATAACAAAGAATGTTAAAAAATAACACAACTACAAAAATATTCGTTTAACCTAAGAAAGAATTTTAAAAAATAACAATCTATATGAAGTAACCAAAAGTGTAACTTATGATACTAAAATTTACTGATTCTGTAAAATTGTCATAACTAGACATTCACGCATATTATAGATAAGTTAGTAATCTATTAAAATACTTATGTAATTATTATCATTTTTAACGCATATCTGGTTTATAATATTTTACTTATAACTGACGCAGATATTAATATATCAGTGCTCCACTAGGATACTGATTATTACTATATGTAATTGGTTAAAATGAATGCTAACAAGCAGATTCAGACATTTCAAAACCCGACTTTAAACCATTATAGAATTCAGTCTACGGATATCTATTTAATTAATATAACACCAAGATGATTATTAGAAAGGAACTACATCAATTATTGAATTTAGATACCTAGATGTGATTACAATTTTAGTCTTTAAACAAGATACAATAACTAAGCTCAGCTATGAAATTCCAAATGTTATGTGATCTTGTTATCATGTTATAACTACAATGATATCTAAATGCAAAACCTTACTGATATATTAAACATAAAAAATTGAATATTTTCTCTTTCTAATGCTTTTGCATGGGTTTTAAATTAAAGAGCAAAGGAAACCCATAAATCCTTCAAGACCCCTAAACCCTTCCCTACATCAACCAAGATATGCCCAAGTCCCATTTCTGTGCTGTCACAAAGAATGGAATGTATATTACGTTGATAGTTCCTTGCTACATAATGTTGGCCTTCTTGTTTTGATGATGTTTAACAAACAATTTATAACTAATATTGTTTGTCTAGTGCTTGTGTTATCTATTCATTGTAGACAAATAACTTGTTGGAGGATGGATGGATTGCGCCATAACGACGATATCAAATGGAGGTTGGCGGAATTGTGGAGTGAAGCATCGTACGATTCAAGTTCAAGATCCAAGTTTAGCTTCATCCGCAAGTGTACCAAGTCAAGCTTAATTGAAGATCAAGATTGCTTGGGTAATCTAGTTTAGATTTTATATTATGTGTGTTAAATACCTTAAGCTCAATATCATATACACACACGTATTTGATTTCTATGTATATATATAGTTATATATATACATGCATGGTTTTGAGTTTTCATGCTTTGGACACACTTGCAGAATACAGTGTTTTTCACAAATTATAAATGCAAATTGAGAAATTCTTTTTCTAACATGTTTGTTTTCATATTTACAAACATTTTGCAAAGTTTCATCAAGTTTGGAATTGATTTGTTATGTTTAAAGGAATTTACAAATTCACGTTTTCGTTCGTGCACATGTTCGTGCATGTTTTACAAAACTGATGAGTTTTCGCAAATGGGAAGTGATATTTGAAAAATTCTTTCTCTGATATGTTTATCTACATGTTTAGAAACTTTTCTCCAGTTTTTACTATTTTTGGAGTTGATTTACTGTGCCTAATTGATTTTACAAAATCATGTATCACAGCAGATTTTCAGAAACTGTATTTCTGTGTTAAAACATTTATTTCTCTCAACTGGGAAATGATTTTTCAGAAATTCTTTCTCTAACATGTTCTTATACATGTCTAGAACATTCCCTCAAAATTTCACAAATTTTGGAGTTGATATACTATTTTTTAACTGATTTTATAAAACCGGATGTATCTGCTACAGTTCCGGTCGACCGAGCTACAGTTCCGGTCGACCGATCTACAGTTCCGGTCGACCAATCTACAGTTCCGGTCGACCGATCTACAGTTCCGGTCGACCGCTGGTCTTTCTGTTCTGTTTTGTGTTATTTGCGGTCGACCGCTCCGGTCGACCGCCGCTCTGTCAGGTTGATTCTAACGGCTAGTTTTCTAGCCGTTGCTGATATGGTTTTTTGGTCTTTTTGTTAGCTTTCTCTTACCTTTGGGGTTTGTATAAATACCCCCATTTACCTCAGATCTAATAACAACTAAGAGAATGGTTTAAAAGATTTTAACAAGAGTTTAAGCTTGTTTAAGGGTTTGGTTTAAAGTTGGTTTAAAGCTGTTTTGTTTTACAAGTGGAGAAGATCATCTACAGAGTTTGAACTTCATTTTAATCCTCCTCTCCAACTTGATTTTCAGAGAAGAATTCCTAAACTCTATTTCTAGCTATTTATTGTTTTATTCATAATTTCTACATGCTAGATTTTAATTGAGTTTAGTTATTTTGATTTATTGAATCTCATTGTTACACACACCCACTTGAGCTTTTAGTATTTACATACATAGTATAGTTGGGTGGTGAGAGATTGTAACTTTGAGTTGTGCTTATTTGAGTTCTCATCTATTGTAGAGAACAAATTTATATTTGTTATAGTGTGAGGAGTGAACGTTGTTCGGTGAGCGTTGAAAACCGACACTGTGTGGTTGTAAACGTTATTCGGGTGAGCGTAGAAAACCCGGTTGTGATAGTGGATTTCTCCCCGGGAGTGGGGAGCGGAGACGTAGGACGGAAGGTCCGAACTCCGTGATCATATTGTGTGTTTGAGTGTGCTTTGGCGTTTATTTATACTTATGTTTATATCTCTTGTCGCCATTGTCATTAGCTCATTATTTATATGATCCACTATCTATTTCATATTGTTTACCCCTTGTGTTTGTTTATATATCCTTGCATATATATTTTTCATCATATAGGATATATCTCATTGTTTATATTGCATATTCTTGCTCATTATTAGTAGTATATCCATCTTGCAAGAATATACTTATTAATTAGTTTTAATTGGTATTTAATCGGATTAGATTAGCATAAGACCCTAATCACCCCCCCCCCCTCTAGGGTCTAACAGGGTATACTCTGACATGTTAAATGTATGGCTTTTCACCTGAATGTATATCTGTGCATCCTGATATGCATATGATAGGTCGCTTGTATATGCTTTAAAACTTCATCATCAATTTCTCCCTATCCTTTAGGAATTTTATTTTACTATTCACTTATATGATATGTTATATTCAAATATAGATTGTCATCGTATATATCTCATACCATATACTATAAGCCTATTGGAAATGACTCTCCATAGTATGAATCCCCTGCGAGATCAGTCAAGACGGGATACATGTAAACCAATTCTTTCCCAAGTTTGGTCCTAAGGGTCGTCACCCTTAAGACCACCACCAATCACAATCTAATGGAGTAATATCACGAGCCCTCTCTCACTAAAACATGTATCCCAATATCAATATTACATTGGTGTCTTGAAGGACTCGCTCGAAATTCAATACTATGGCATCATAAACATGTATATTCCTAAGATAATTTGATACTAATATAAAACTGATAGATCCTAGCCTGAGATTTTTCATGAAGCTCTTGTCCTTATATGTCTTAAACTTATAAACATATGGTTGGAATCATGTTCGGTGGCAATTCCCAAGAATTAATATATTTTTCTAGATATCAAGC